CAATGGACACCTTTGTTAAACGGACTGCTTGGTCAAACGGACACCCAGAGTTGTTTTCTGCCTTTCTTTACTCCCCTTAGTTTACTATAATTATAAGACGAACATCGCTCTAAAACGACACTTAGTGCCGTTCCCAAAGGTGTCTTTCTTTATTTTTTCTTTCCCGTGTGCGCAATTTTCCCGGAAACTGCAGCAGAAATGGACGTCAAAAAACTGTCAATGTTTTTTGTAAAAAACAAATCGCTAATAATTTTCCGTGGTCTTTGGTTTTACCGAACGTAGAAATGACGGCCTTGCTTAACATTTCACAATGTTTTAGCACAGGTAACCCAGGCCCTGTGATAGTACCACAGTACGGTTCCAGTAAATAGTAATACAGGGTTTGTATGGGGTAAAAATACCATCCTAAAATTTCTAGGAAATACTAAATAAGTCCAATGAAACTTACTCTGCAGTTAATTGTTGTCGTTTTTATTGCTCTAACGAAGTTTCGTGATAATTTGCAGTAATTTGCTCAAATTCACTCTATGGTTCACGAGCTGCATATGAAAGGTCGAGGTCACGGTCTCATGATTAAAATTATATAATAGCGAGGGAACCCTTGCTTATGAGCGGCTTGCAGGATCACAAAATCCGGGGGTTTTCAAGGAAACACAGCGCAGCCTTTTTAGGGTATAAATTGAACCGTTATGAATAACTTCAACCTCTCGCTGAACTTTAAAAAATCAAAAGCGATTTTATGCAAGCTTTTTGACCAGGCACAGGGCTGGAAAAGGTGCACTTGGGGTGAACATTTTCTTCAACCTTCCTGGTCCTCGTGGTTTGCAATTGAAAATAAACGTCTACGTTCAACAGTTTACCTAAAAAGAAAAAAAAAAGAAATTCACAGTCTCCTAGTGCCTAATTTGGTCCTAGTAGTTTCGCTGAGAACAGTTTCATGGTTTCGATAATCTTTATTTGAGAAATAAGCCAGGAACTGTCAGAACCGTACCAATCAGCTGTCACTAAAGTAATCGTGCAAGGACGCGGTGGGTGAATTTTTCATTCATCCCCGGCATTCGAGTGAACTACCACCACCTCTTCGATCAGACCAGTTTGTAGTTTGTTGTTTGTTGGATTTTTCTTTTCTACTTTTATTTTTTTAAAAAAAGACGTTATGGGAAAGCACAAGCAAAAACAAAAGGCTGTAATACTGTGTTGTGAAATCATACAAATTTTTATCTGACTGCGATAGATCTAAACGCGCCAAAGGCAAAGCTGCATGATTTTTCGTTTGTGTCGATCTGTGGACTGTACTGAACGTGGTGGCAAGCAAGTTACAGGTTGCATTCAATCGTTCATGTTGCCATGGAAACCACGAAAACGTCACATTTGACCTGTCAGTCAAACTCTTTCATCAGTATATTTTTTACTTTCCAAGTTTTAGCTTGGGAACTGCAACCTTTCTCTTGCCTTGATTTGGCAAATGACATATACTCACAAACTGCCAAAATTGTGTTCAGCCACCTTAAATTGTTCAGCAACGACTAGACCAAGTAACTGATAGTTTTGGGCTTGCAGACTGTCAAGAGTTAACTGTTGCTCTTTATTTTGACCAGTCAAAAACGTCGAGACGTGACAGCGTAAAAATATATTTGGTACTTCAACGTGGTCCGGCCACTGTCCGAAATTTATTTTGAGCGATGTTATCATTCGTAGACAATTATGTGACACACAACTTTAGTCACTTTAGGGCCGCGCTGACCGGGACAACACTTTTGTCAGCTTGGAGTCCAATGTACTCTTCTGTAGTGCTCGTTTTGATTGTCAATCTTTTACTGAGTATATATGCTTATGCCGTCCTAGGAGAAGTATATTTTTTTGTATTTGGCTGAAATTCGTGTCTTATGTGTCATATGAGAAAGTGTGAAAGCAATTCAGTTGAGAAGTGATATCTACAAGTAATGCACGTGTTCTACAGCTCACTGTACATGTGTCTCTATAAATCACGGAAGGTTTTACAAAAGAGCGGTAACCGAATTTAGTTTTTTGCGCTATGACAATGATTCCAATAAAAAGTGGAAAGAGAACGAAAAACAATGTCCAAATACATGTTAAGAAACCAAGCTTTCCTTCTTGATAGTTTGGAGGCTATTAGCGACTGGCGGCTTTTAACGTACTTTTGTTCCATAATGTATTTATTCTATTACTTCGAAATACTGTTTTAATGTTCCAAAAGAATTTGCAAACATGATTTGACGTAGCCTGTTCCAGGCGGTCGGATAGGACAAGGAAAACTACGAATGTAACGACATACAAACAAAATGAACCTTCCCCGAGATGACCTGCGGTTTTCTAATACAACTGGTATTCTGCCAAAAAAAAAAAAACTATTTGGTCTATTGGTGTGGAAGTAGAGCAAGAGACGAGTGCACCCCCTCCTAAAAAAAATCCTGGATCCGCCCCTGAAGACGTAAAAGGAATTTTAATGTCCCTCTGGCTAAGACGAAGAGACTTAAGAACACATTTATATATAGCAACTGTAATTAAATTTTTAGCTACATATGTGTACATTTTTCTTATATTTTTTCTCATATTTTTAATAGATTTTATTATTGTAACGATTAATCTAGTCATGGTTCAGCTTTTGGCTGCGTTTTTAATCAGAATAAACTATCTATCTATCTATATCTATCTATTAGTGGATAGCAAAAGACTTGATTAACCTGCGCTGGTTTATGATATGGCATAGATAGGAAATATTTATTTGGGAGTTACACACGAACTTTGTTACGCTGTTTTCTTGCAAATTGCAGCTCAATTTTCCCTGGCAATGACTGTACCTTTTCCTAATACTTTATTATGCAGCAATCAAATGAATAAACGTGAATATTTAGGAATGATTTGCAAGAGTTCTTTTGTTTCTGTTAATTAAGCATTTTTCTATCTGCATGACTGAAAATAGAGTTCGCAAAAATAGAGCAAGTGAAAAATAGAGTCTTGAGGTCAGTCTCACTCTCTACTGATCCCTAACCAGCTCCGAGATCCTCAATCCTTAATTATATGGAGATTTGGATTAGATTAATTGAAGGACAAAATTTAAAATTGCGATCTCGGTGTTTCGCCACGTTTTTTGCGGTGATGCGGTGTTTGTTATTTTCAGTGTCCGCAGTGTTGCGGTGTGGACAGTCCCCCAATGTCCCCCTCCTTATTATACCATAAACCCTTACGGAACTGTAATACATTCAACCCGTAATTTATAAATCGAAAAAGAAAACAAACTTGTTATGCATTCTAACAACGTCTTTCAATATAGCAAGATTCGAACACGAAAACGAAATGCAAAGAAAAGCATTAAAACAGTAAAAAATTGGAATCCAGCCCTTTTTGGAATCCGGAATCCACTGTGCTGGAATCCGGAATCCAGTACCCGGAATCCGGAATCCACAGCGTGGAATCCAGAATCCAAGAATGTCCTGGATTCCCTTACATGGGGCGACCCATTTGTTGGAAGGTCGATTAGCGCTAACCCGGGGTTAAAATTTTAACTTGGGTTTCTTTTTCTTTTGTTCAAAAGATTATTTCCGGATAATTTTCTCTACTTTTTTTAGAGCATCCAATCATCAAATTGTAGGCAAAATAATAAGACTGAATTTTCTTTTTAAACTTTCATATCTGAATTCAAATTTCGCACTAACCCCGGGTTATCTTAACCCTGCTTTGAACAACTCGGCCCAGGGTCTCGTTAGAAGCCCAAAGGATTTTTTGACAAATCTGATTTTTGCCCCCTTTCGATCATCCCCGTCACACAAACACCGCAGTACTTTCCATAATTTATCTGCCCTCTCCCGTGGGCACCCAGCCTTCCATCCCGCGTTGGGATCACTTATTACTTCCGAAATATTTACATGTATTAAGCAGACTTGTTTATGTTTTCTTTAAAGAGTTATTGCTTAAGCTCTGTCGACATCAGAGTCGAATTTTTCCCACCGTCGGATTTGATTTTCAGATCAAAAGCGCGGCATAAATGGAAATTTGTACAACAAAAAACAATGATTGTTCCGAAGTTTACCGTTTAATTCAGATGCCAGCGAGTTTGCAAAGTTCCTTCAAGAAGTACAGGTGTATTCTCGATTAGAATCCCGCGCAGTTCCTCTTAGTGTTTGATGTTTTCAAGCATGTGTTAATACTTAAAGGAATCCACAATTTTATGGCCAGGGAACTGGATTATCTCATAGCTTAACTGTGTTACATTCTCATTTTGGTCCCTTTTTTTCGGTCCGTATTATAAATTAGCCTGATTTAGCAAAAGAACGGGAACGTCAGTTGACGATGGCGCAGGCAAATCAATGGCACAGCGGCACCAAAAGTCGCGTTCAGTCCTTTCCGCGCGCTTTCCCATCGCCAACTGACGTTCCCGTTCTATTGCTAAATCAGCCTATTATGGACAGGAGCGCGCGAGGCACAAATCAGTGGACTAGTAGTTTATAGTAAAAACCACGAAAAGGAAGCTAAAAAGGCCTTTATCATATGGCTTTCTTTCTGTTGTAAAAATTGTAAATTGTAATTTGTTTTCCCACGAAGCACTTAGGAGTTCTTAAGAACTCGTTTTAACGTGTCTGTGCGTTCCAGATCGAATTGGAATTTGGAAGTGTTGAATTTGGAGAGGAGGGGAAAACCGGAGTACGCGGAGAAAATCTTCTCGGAGCAAGCGAGAGAACCAACAACAAACTGAAACAAGATATGGAACAAGAAACAGGTGCCTAGCAGGCTATTATATAACCCTTAAAACTCAGTTTATTTTCTTATTTGAGCAAGCAAACAAAAGAACATTACAAGCTGAAAACCCTAGTGAGGACAAGAATTTTGAGATTTTTAATGATAAATGATATAAGACCGCCCAGAAGGTCTTGCAGACTACATGTAAAATGGTCAAATTGCTGTTCTGAACGATGAAAGTATACCTCATCACACGAAATTTTCGCAAGGGTTTCATTTTTGCCGATCACAGATTTTTGGCGTTGCGTTTAGTGTTGCGAACAAATTTTTGCGGTGATATCGGTCTAGTAAAAGATGGTGTCGCCTCAGACTCTTCGTCATAGTAAAAAAGTGTAAATAAAAAATCCCAACTTGCGGACTCCCATTCATGTAAAAAAAGTAATAAACCTCGGTGTCGATGCTCTTGCGAGAGTTTAATTTTACGTGATCAAATTTTGGGGGATCATGGAAAAACAACCTCGAAAATTTCATGCCATACGGTACATAATACCGCGGTGACGGTGGCCCTAGTGAATAGGCAAAAAGCCGCGAAAAATAGTGAACCGTCCTACCCCTGTTACTAAGAATCACCTCCTTACGCTATAACAAAATTTAAGCTTTTATAAAAACATTACTCTATACCTACGGGTAATTGACAGTCCCCGGTTGTTTAAAAGCTGGAGAGCGCTATCCGCCGGATAAATAGCTTCCAATGGATAAGCCAGTATTGGGGAAACCAATTGCTTTATCCACTGGATAGTGATTTATTCAGTTGATTGCACTATCCTTCTTTTAGTTTAAACAACTGGGGCCTGAACGTGCACGAAATGCTACTTAATTAAATGAAAAGCTGGATAGGCAGTTTTGCTAGGAAGCCTGGGAACTAAAAGTAACGCCATATGATGAGAGAGAGAGCTGTACAAAGGCTAGCACACCAGTGAACTGCAGTCGGGTGTTTATGGTACCACCTACATTGGAAAAAAAAAATACATTAGAAAAGAAAATTGTTGATCGACAGGAACGTAAATCAATTATGGATATTTGATCACTTTAGAGTAGTCAGGTAGTGAATCATAAAAATGTTCCCTAGCAAAGCTATTTAATCACCTTTAACCTAGGACTGAGTTAAAAAAAAAAAAAAAAAAAAAAAAAAAAAAAAAAACGAGAAGGTACTAGGAAAGAGATTTTTCTTTGCTAAGGGTTCTCGACTTGTTTCAGTACCTCAGTAGCCGCTCCTTTTTCCAGAAATGTTTTGGGAAAGTAAGCTATATCTCAAAGCTTCAGCCCAGACAGTTTGGAAAATACAACGCCAAGCGACTCAGGTCTATTATTTGTTAAGTAAACTTCGTGCAAGTACAACTCGTATAAAAACTGAAAGCAGCTCAAACTAGAATAATTATTAGTACTCAGAGAAATCCATAACGGGAGCTAACTGAACTTAACGCCCTTACACGGTTTTGTTTGGCAGTCTGGAGCTGAGGAGCAATATTCGACACTCCTTGTATCATGTGTTAACACATTTTAACACATTTCGTTAACCATTTAATTATATAATTAGCTAAATCTTTCCACCATATTTTAACTCTTCAAAACCCGGGAGGTTTGTTCAGCCATCTCATTTTTACTATAGTGGGATGTGAATTTGTAAAGCCTACAAATTTTACGTTATACATAATTACTGGCTGCAATTCATTTTATATACCTGACGATGCTTTTGAGGATAACGTTGGCACTAACTGTGAGTTGCATTTATCTCCAGTACAGCACTCGATCTCACATTGCAGTACAGTCCATTCTCTGCTTACTTTTAGAGCACCACCAATAATTCCACATGCTTCTCGTTTGTCTGTAACAAGAGGCATTTCAGACTGAATTTTAATTCAGTTTAGCTAAAAATATGAAAGTAACCAGAACCAGAACCAGCTAAATAATGAAACGGAAGTGGATGGTTAACTGAACCATCTATGTAAAGTCTGACAAATTCTGGTGAACAATGACCTAGAATGTAATAAGAGCTCTGCTTTTAGCTTTGGCTATCCATAGTAGAATTCCGGTGACTCAAACTCTGAAGGGAAACGAAAAGCAGTTCGAGTTAGCGGGGGTTCGAGTTACTATCGTCGAATTGAAAATTTTATTTGTTACATTAGAAATTAATAGTTATTGATTTTTCAGCACGTCAGTGTATAGTGCAATGTAAATTTGACTTAATATTTCATTCATGTACCGTGGTTAAATCTTTTTTATGATAAAATGTGATCTGTTCGTTGCGACAATTAAAATCAAATTCAAGTAGTTTTGACCAGCGTTAGAGTTTAAGTGTTTTTACCGATTATACAAAAAGAAGAGGTAATGGGATGACATGCGAGTGAAGTTACAAGAACTAGAATTCCAATTATCGAGGTAAATTTCAGTGAATTTTTGATCAATTTTTGATCGAACTCCCTCAAAAACGCCTGCGTGGGAGGCTACAGTTAGCGAGGAGTTCGAGTCAACCGAGTTTGAGTTATCGGGGTTCTACTGTATACATGTATACCGGTACATGTATTCAGAGGGAAGATTTGGCTTACGCCCCCAGTTTAGCAAACTATACAACTGAGAAATTTTATCGTTTAATATTCAATTTGCAGTTAAAAGCTATGTTTTACTAACTTACCTGCACAGTTAATGCATCCTCGAACGAATCCATTGTTGATATTTCCATCCTTGTCACGATACTTTCCAGCTGCAGAGCCACAGTGAGTTGTACCAAGAGAGCTCGGGTCGGTGGCACAAGTCAGAACTTGCTGATTTTTAGTGCAAGTCGTTGGATCATTTTCCATGCAGTAGTAACATTGTGCTGGTCCAGCAGCTGTGGGGAAAACTAAAAATTTTTGGACAAGTTATTATAGCCGGCAAATTCACTGGAGTTTATTATTTTTTTAAAATTTTTTTGGCCTCTCACGATCGTTGTTTGATCAAGCGCATGTGCATCGCTTATTTCAAAACAGCCCAATACATTGTACACTATAAATTTTTGTCAAAAAGACAACTGCAGGGACTGATCAAATAACGTGAATAGACTAGAGTTAAATTTTTTCGACTGACCAATACCAGTCTTCATCAGGTTTATTAGGAAGACCGCGAAATTACAGAAAAATTATGCAGTACTACAATTAAGACGGAAGTGACTTAGTAATTGGTGTTGCTACCTAAAAGAACTACGATAGCAGAAAAACAAATAAAAATTCGTTGTATGCTGAATATATATACATTATACACCAATGAATATTCTTGTTTTAATTGATAAATGTATATGAAATTATTAAAGAATCTAACCGCTTATTTCACATTTTTGCATTCCGTTTTTTTCTAAAGGTTTCTTTTTTTGTTCTGTAAGCTGGTGTGGATAAACTAGGTTATAGATAGGCCTAAATATGACAGGGCCGTGAGACTGTTTGCTTTGGAAGTTGACAGCTAGGGTAGATATTAAATGATTCTGGGAAGTGAGTCGTATTTTAGGAATTGGCTTGGATTCTGGGAAATGGTTCGTTTTCTCGGAAGTGCTCTGGATTCTGGGAATTGTTACAAATTTTGGGAACTGGTTTGGATTCTGGGAAGCGCATCTGGGTTCTTGGAAATGTTTCGGATTACGGGAAGTGTTTCTGTATTCTTAGAATTGTTCTGATTTCTGGGAAGTGTGACTTCCTTTTGAGCCACCGCAAGATTATTATGAAAGAAGTTTTTTTAGCAGTTTTATTGTGATTTCACCCGAGTCCACTGTAGCTTGCTAAAAACTCTCCCGCTCTATTTGTTAAGAGACACGTTTTATTGAAAAGGAGCAGTCAAACCCAAGTGAACCCAAGCGTGAAGTGGTATCATCTGAGTCATTGATAGGAATGTCAATGAATCGTAGTCCCTCAAGGTATTCATTCTTCGTCTTCGGTATTTTCACAGTGCTAAGAAGTATTGGTGGAAGTCGCAACACGTATAAGGCGAGGAAAACAATAGGCAAACTTAAACCAGGAGCCCATTCACAGATTTACACGCCAAACAGAGAACGTTACAAACCTTTCATGCTCTCATTCAGACAAGGCCAGATGCGCAAACTGATTCAGAAAGAATGGTTAATTCATAAACACAAAGTTACACCTAGCTTTCAGTTATAAGCGGCCTAAGCAGATCATCAGAAAGATGTCATGATAGAGATGTTCAGTGTTCCTCTATAATGCGACGTGCCAATCGATGGAACACACTTAAAGTGAACCTCTGAATGTCCGTATCCTGACCCAAAGATATTGCGTCACTGCGATACTCATGATATCGCAAAGAAAAAATACGGACTATGTATTGTTAAACTTCAGAATGATGGTAAACATATCGTTACTAATTTGTCCGGTTTTTTTTATGCCCACTATACAGAATTTACATGGCAGTTAGTCAAGTGTTGTCCACCCAAATTTGTCTCAAAAACGATAAAGAGTAATTATTACCCAATTTCACATGCACCGCAGACTACGCAGCGTAATACAGAATTTTGCAAATTTCTCCAGTGGTCCAAGTTTTAACTTGTTACTGAATTATTTCAGTCAAGTTGTTTCTTATACCTTGATATGTTCCCATTAAAGTTTTTTTTTTTCATTATTATTATTACCTGAACCAGGCGTAGGCAAAGTTGGAACAGTCCCCGTGTTGCATTTATCTCCGGTGCAGCACTCGATCTCACACTGTAGAACAGTCCATTGTCTGTCTGCTTTAAGAGCGCCATAGATAAGTCCACACGCTTGTAATTTGTCTGGAACAAGCAGTTCAGAAAAACAAATTGAAAATTAGGTAAGTAAATCGATTAAAGGGGTTGTGTCACGGCATTCCAGTTCATTTTGTTTAATTTTGCCAATTACTCGCCCTCAATCGTTATGGAATTTAAAGTAAGCAAAGAAATTACACGTAAATGACAAAATGAGAGATCCGAGACAAACAAATATGTCTCCTGAACTTTATTTTTGAAGTTGCAAGCAGTAGGGATCAACTTTGAAAAACTGTTAGGCTGAACAGTTTTCAAAAATCCTAATTTCAATCCGTTTCAATCTTCTTCAGTTTTGCCCATCCGTGGCATCTGTTGTTTCTGTTGTGTTATTCTAACCTTCCTTTAATGTTTTAAGCGGTTATTTTTTAACGGGCATTTTGTAATTTCCTAATTTGGCTGAGTTTCGTGACACAGCTCCCTTAATCAAATGTAAAAACTAATTAACAGTTGAGTACAACCAGCTACATAAACCAAGGCCGACATATAGGGTGTTTGTCCACCGTCAGCAAACTTTTGCCTTCTTTCTCTTTACTTATACTTAGTTTAAAAGAAAAAATAATACCAGCACAGTTGATGCATCCTCGGACGACCCCAAAGTTGATATTTCCACGCCTGTCGCGATATTTTCCAGCTGCCGAGCCACAGTGAGTTGTACCAAGTGAACTTGCGTCAGTTGCACAAGTCTGCACTCGCTGATTTGCGGAACAAGTCGCTGAATCACTTTCTAAGCAATAGTAACATTGCGCTGGGCCAGCGGCTGTGGAGAAGAAGACATATTTTTGTGGAAAGACTTTCAGCATTTTGCCTTGAAGTGTTAGTAAGAGTTACGTTGTTAGTTTTCTTACCTTAGAGTCCACCGAGTAGTTAATAAAGTTTCGTTAGGAATTAGCTTTCAAATGTAAAATTTTATCGAGGCAACGACTTACCAATTTGCTTCACGACAAACAAAGCGATTACTGCGACCAAAATCTTCATGTCTTGAATTATAAAATAAAATAGAATGACTCCCGTGAAAAGAGGGTGTAACTGAAATACTTTCCTTTGCTGTCTATCATTATATATGCTGGCAAGACAGAGCGATTTGTGCCTTCTGATTGGCTTCCTAGCGGGCCACGTGGCCCTTATTTACCAAGATTCTCTGCTTTGTCCTTGTAAGAAGAACAACTGTCTTTTATACGATAGAAAAAATTTTTGACCGGGGTTTTCGGTTAAGATACGTTCGATATTGTCCTCCTATTGTTTTCGTGTTTTCATGGTAGTCTCGGGTTGATAAAAATGCCATCTAAGATTTCATGCTTGCGCAATTTGATTGGCTTATCTCGGCCGGACATTTATGTTCAGCATTTCGGCAGCGATTACGTATACAACTACATACATTTAGCCGACGAAAATCTGGAAGCGTCTGACTCTATAACATAAACTACACTTTACTTGCTACTTACTATACACCTGATTGAAAAATCGTTGTCGCTTGAAAAGTATAAACCATGAACGATGGGACCTAATGGATTTATGGGTACAAGTTTACTAGCATTGCAAATTTAAAGTTCTTCCAAAAAAATGTTTACATTTACGAAGCTTTTCGCGACGATGCATTCCAAAAAATGTAAAACAGTTTCCAGTATTTACGGCTCACAACTTCACCTGTGCTGGACACATAAGAGATTTCTACAGTTAAAGAGCGTAGCCATATCGCTAACGCACACTTGAAAATCATAAGATAGGACCTAAAAGCGTTCTTGGAAGACAAAAAAAGACAACAGCATGCCTTAAACAAAGTACACTAGGGATTTGCATCCGCACGAGCATCTCGTGACAATGTAAACTTTTGTCGGAAGAACTTTGAATTTGCTTTGCTAATGGACGTATACCCATAAATCCTTGAAACCTCATCGTTCATGGTTTCTACTTTTTAGCGACGACGTTTTTTCAATCAGGTATATATGATTCACACAACGATTACTCCGACCCAAATTGAGACAATTTACGCAGCTTAGGTTTCCGAAGTGCTAAGACTACAAGTAACAGTTCGGATTTTGCAGGTCGGATTTCACGGGGCAAATTTACTTATTATGAAGAGAAAGTAACGACAATTCAAGTTAGCGAGATTGTAAAAGAAGAGTTACGTGTTTAATAGGGCTAGCCTACCAGGTCATTTTCCCCGCATTTCTTAGAATTTCGTTCAATGAACATCCCAGTATTTTGGGGTTTCTTCTGGTTGCTACATCCTCGCTACATTGCCTTTTGCAAAGGCCATGACGAGACTGAAAGTAGTAAGATTCGCGACTTAAAAAGAAGAAGAGGTTGTTGTCTCAAGTATTCCGTGTAGACCAAAAGTATCAAAAGTTACTTTAATAACTTTACTTTCCATCTGTTGCTGGGATTTCAGCTGGATTTGAGGTTATGAAAACAAAAAAATACTTAATTATCAAAGAGGAAAAAATGAGACTGAAATGGATATTATCTAATTATGTAGTTGTAACGTCAGTTCTTTCTCTTCAAAAAAGTTTACATCAAAATGTCACGCAAATTCATGACAGATAGTGACAGACACAACAGTGTATTATTGAAGATGTTTCTCAGAAAAACCTCAATACATTTAATTTAATACACATGCATCGTGTGTTTCTTGGAAAAGATGGAAGTCTATGATGTTATGGAGACATCTCAGTGACATCTTTCTCAGACTGAAAGGAAATCCATTATTTTTCGGTCAGTTGATCTTCAAATGATTCTCATGTGACACCGTTCATTAAATAATATAATAACACAAAATTTTTTCTGCCTCCTGACCAAGAGATATTTGTGAAAGTATACTAACTTCAAATTACCTAGGAATGTGTGAAACTTGTGAACTGAACTGTGGATCGATTGGCATTGATTTTTAAATCTGTCTTTTAATGCAATCTTTTCTGATATGTTAACCTTGTTGTTAAAATTGCAGTATTGATTTCTTGCGATCCGCGGCCACGGTAATGATTTTCACTGCGAATCGTTTGCGCGATGATCGTGTAGCAACTGTTACAGTAATTGCCTAGTCCCTGTACCAACGTTTTCCAAGGCCTTCTCGGTCAATGCACTTCGGTGACGTATCCGAAGCGAATAGGCAGGAAACGCCTCACTTCTTCGTTCGGACCACGTGACCCGACACGCTGGCCGCGAGGAATAATTTGGCCATTAATATAATTATAGTACAATATCTTTAAAGCTGTTACCGCGCGTTATGTGCCTTTTAATTACCTCTTTTAAGGTTAATTTAATCTTCTTTAACTATCTTTCATTTGTTTTTCATTTAACTGTAGTACTAACTGATCTTTATTCGACAACTGGATTTAATACCAGCAATCTCATCTTTGCATTTGCACTTAACGGGGATCTTCTGAAGAGGTAAAATGAAAAGAGTGGGATTAGCGGATGTGGGAATTTAAGTTTAATGTGATATTAGACATTCAGCTATGGTCAATTGACAGCTGTCAAAATGAAGTATCTGCTGACCAGTATCAAGTGACTGTATCGTGGGCTCAGGTGTTCAACTCGTTGAGGTGATGTGTTTTTTGAAGTTCTTCGCTGACCGCGCAGTTATTGGTTTTCAATTGATCGGAGGCTTAGGTTCATTTTTCCGGTTCGTGGTCAACTCATTGTCTTACACAAATATTTAGATTTCAGGGGCGTAGCCAGGATTTCTTCAGATGTACGTGGAATTCTCTTTGTACCCCCCCCCCCAAAAAAAAAAACTTCCTTTATTAAAAATTTGGTAATGTTGTAAGCCTAAGACTTTTTCTGCTTATGAAATAACATTAGCAACTTCTGAAATACTTGTCGCGTTTGGGTGAATTGACTGATGCACATCAATGATCTACCGATCATACAATAAGGCTTCTGCATACTTTTCCGGATTCGTTACTTTATTTTGTTATTGGGTTCGTTTCGTCGTTTTTGTATTAAGCAGATACAGTGCGTGAATCCAAATTGAAAAGGTGCCGATTTGGTCAAGTCTCTATAGATTTTGAATCTCAAATCTAAAGTGAATCTAATGCCTTGAATGTTTTGTAGTGTAAACAATTTGTCCAACTTATCCCGATACTTTTCCGCATTTGTTGATAGGAGTTTGAAGTAAAAGCAAAATGGATCTGTCACATTCATGAATATAGGATGCCTTAGCAACGACGACGGTGAGGGCAACGAAAACGTCCCTATTTATGAAAATGAATGCGCGTAATTTTTTTTTTTTTTAACTTTTTCGCTTTTATTGCCGTCAACTCTCTTAAAATGGCAAATCCTGGGCAAATATAGGTGAACTTCTTTACGGAGGCTTGGAGACCACCCAAGTTCGGACTCAGAGAAGAAATTGTGATTACGTCCTCCTCCTCCTCCTCCTCCTCCTCGTGTTCGTACAGGTTGTAAAGAAAAGCGCGCTGGACGTGCAAAATTTGTTGTTTTTCATTACTTATGGGGCTTATTGTCGTCGCCACAGAAACACCAGAATTGAATGAATTGAGGCAAACTGTACTGTTAAAATAATTATCTTTAGATAGTGTGCTTTTCTTTTTTATTGCTTATTCATTTTATATCTTTTTTGTGCACGACTTTTTTAGGTACGCACGTGCGTACCGTGCGTACAGGTGGCTACGTCCCTGTTCATTGGGGTTATTTTGATCTAAAAAATTTGGACGTAAAGCTTAATTAACCGTTAAGACACTCGTTAAACATTAATACAGAATCCATCATGAAATTGAGTAATTTCAATTTTCAGTGGACAAAAACTTACCGCTTGTACCAGAAAAAATATCGCATTCAAACAATATTTTTCAAGGGCTATAGATATTATTAGTTATCTGTAATACCAAACACTATTTCTCGTAGGAGCTCGAGAAAATAAATGTCAAATTTCACAAGAATTGTGAAAACACAGGTAATGTTCTGAAAATGTCATGTATGAGATCTCATTTTGTGAAATTTGACACATATTTTCTCGAGCTCTCATAAGAAATTTTCTTTGGTGATAATTCTTTGGTGCTGTGACGTTTGAAACTCCTTTATAAGTTTAGACAAAAGTTGTTATCTTTCTAATGCGCCGAAAAGTTTTAATGACTTGATGCGTCTGCCGTAAGCTTGGTCCATTAACGTAATTTAAAACCATTCATAACACATGAATTACGAAGTTTAAAAGCCAGCTTCACCGAATTACATTTTTCGCTACCGTCAACCATAATTACGATCACAAGCAACGAACCCACAAACCATGGCCTTTTCGATTTTAATTCATTGAAGTAAACTTCTCTTGATAAGTTGATTGACGGCAGCAAACTTGGCGTGTTATTGAAAGCCACAGTAACTTTGCCAATGGTCCGTTTCACTGACACCTGGGCGTCCACCGTTGTTATAACTTTGTTTTTATTAATAAACAGTTACATATAATAAAGTTCAGCTATAACGCCCGCTCTGATTGGTTGAAAAAGGGTGCTTTATGAATGTATAAAACACAGACGCAAAGCTGTCACGTCATAGTAGAAAGTAATGCGTGGGGAATTTACCCACGTTCGAAATATTAAACTTCTAACTTGACTCCGAGGCTTTCCTGTCATTTTTCAATATTTGGTTTGGTTTTCTTTGTGTTCAAGTTTCTTCTGGGAATTGCGAGACAATGCAGACGTGAAAAATTTGCAATTTTTACCCTAAATCCTCCGAGTCATGTTAGAATTTTACTATATCGAACGTAGGCTATTAAAAATAGTTAATAATTTATATTTGTTTTTGCTAGAACAAAAAACGAAGGAAGTTGCAATTATTTTGAATAATA